CTTTACCACTTCCTTCCTGTTTGGATGCCATTTACTAGGCTGGTAAATAGGTTAGTTAGCTAGTTAGCTGATGGAGTACAGAGCAGGGGTGTAACATGTTCCATACATGTTGCTGTCTCTGAATGAGTCTGCTTCTGGGCATTCAAAAGCCATATTGTATCTGAAAGATCCACTTTCTATCAGCAAGCTGTAGCCTACTGGAAATTTAATTTAAGAAGATGCCAACACTTGATAAACATCGATACTCTGAATATTCTCTAACAGAAACTTGTCACTGTGGCAAAGCCTGCAGTTGAAAAAACACATCAACTGCCCGGCCTTGTTCTTTAAGCTAGCATACACATCTAACAAGCCACAAAATCAATAGCCATACATTAGCTGCTGATTGACAATTTGTCACTGTATGCCCTGCACATAATTATCTCCCAGCATGTGTCGGCCTGAGAGTAAATGCCTCTCTGCCATCGAGCAAAGGAATGTTATTCCTCTACCATGGGCAGGAACTGAATTAAAAAGTGGTTATGATCACTTATGAGGAGATGGAACGAGCTAACACAATTACTCTTGGGTTGGAATGACCATGGCACTGTTGATTTAGTGTATGAACATAGTGAAGTGTAGTAAAGTGGAGGGAAGTATCTATTACAATTTGTTGATCTGCACCTTAAAGCTGCATTACATTACTTTTTGGCCTCTTGGTGGCCGCAGAACAGAAACACACACAGAAAAAACAGAAAAATATTATCAACGTTCAAAGTTGATAAGACTTACGATTCATTTAGAGTTGTGTTTCTGTATACCTGACAAATTTAAGTCCATGATGCATACAATGAACTTAACAGAACAGTGGCCTGTTCTTGCAGTGCCAGAAAACCAAGAAAAATTGCTAAAAGATGTCAGAATTGCTCCCTAGAACGGATTTGTACTAACTAAAATCAGAAAATAACAAGATACTGCGAGAATCCATCTTGCCAAGCTTGGAGTTATGTGCTTGTGTCCAACCACAGTGGTTTGTACCAGTCAGCGTCCTACGAGGAACTACTGGCAGCTACAGGTGTGGATTAACACTAGGTGTGTCTGGGATGACGTGTGTGAGAAGTGACTGTTTGCTAGGAAACAGCAATGGCGGCTGCCAAAGAGGTTAGTGTAGATGGTAGCATCAGTTCTATCATAACTGGAGAGTATTTCTTCATTAAAAAAAGAGCAAAGAACAGCCATGAAGGCTTTTCTCCATGGAAAATATGTTTTAGCTCTTCTCTCGACTGGTACGAGTTTTTCTATGCTATATGGTTAATTGATCTGATTGCCTGCCGAGTATTTTTTGAAAGTGCCTGCCCTTTTCCTAACGACAACGTCTATGAAGTCAGGTTAGAGTTGAACTGCAAAGTAGGTGGTTAATTCTATGTGGGTTTGTCACCTTTCACATTAGCCTTTCTTAAAGGACTAGTGGTAAAGTTGCAGATTGCAACTGCTGTCGGTATTTGGCGACCTGGAAATGGGAACAGGCAGTGAAGCGTGCAGGGGAAACTATGGTGGCCACTAAACTTGCAAAAAACCACTTCATCTAGAGCCAGTGTTTGGTTTGTTCTGTTCTGGACTACTGTAGAAACATGGTGGTTCAACATGAATACATGAAAGGGGTGTGTAGATAAAAATAGCTCATTCTAAGGTAACTAAAACACAACAATTCCCATATTCAGATGATTATACACTAATTGAAATGTCAGCATACCTACCTATGAATATAATATTCCATTTCTGACAATATATCCTCCTCAATGTTACACACTGGACGTTTAACGTTAAAATATTAGTGCAGCTGGAAGACTTTACAATGAAAAAGAAAAAGTTCTTCCCCAGTCAGATGGCCTTTACAAGTGGAAAGAAATGTTTTCTGTGGTTTATTTATCTCTATATCAGTACCCCATTTTGTTTCCACTATATCACAGTTGCATCTGTATATGAAATGCATGCAACCCCTGTTGGATACTTGGCAATTTTTTTTTCGTCTTCTTTTTAATTGCTATTCCATGGTCACAGCCAAACCCTGCTCACTTAAACAGCAACAAATCATAACTAGGCCAATTTCTGCTCAGAAGTTTGTGGCCAAAAGCACAATAACTATGGAAAAAGAAGAAAAAAGAGGGTGAGATCCTGAAGGATTGTGTTCTCTGCATTCTCTGAATGTAGGCTAATTAGACTCAGATAGCTACAGCCTGCTGCAGGCATGGCAGTTTCTCTCATTCTCCTTGTTTCTCTTTCATTCTTCCATTACTCGCTCACCAATTCATGGAGTGGGCTGGGAACAACAAAGAAAGTAGCCTCATGTGTTAATGTGAGTGGTGTGTTGCTGTGATTGTGTGGTGTCTCAGGGGAAGTGTTTTATTAACATTGTTTGCCATCATCAGAGGGAAAGGATATTCCCAGCACCAGTTGGTGGTTCCTCTGGAAAACAAGGAAAACGTAGCATATAGCGGGGTATTCTGTGATAGAAGATATAACAGTACAGTGTAGTTACTTACATTACTATGACAAGAGTTTACAAGGGTTCTGGCTGGAAGAGTTTCTCCTCTCCAAATTCGGTCCAACTGCATTTTGCTGCACACAGATAGAACTTCCTGATGATCTGAAATGTACACCAACATCAGCCACCTTCAAATCTAAATGAAATCAAAGCAGCACGAGTCTGTGCTTCTCTCCCTCTATCCATTTCCCTTTATGTGATAGTTTATGTGTTGGCGTGGTCATTTTGGGCCGGAGCAGAGCAGCTGTCCCTCTAGTGTTTCAGACTGGGCGAGCGTCTGTTCGGGCCGAGTCTGCTGGCACACTGCGGAGCTCCTTCACACGGCCCAGTGGCCAGGAGAAGCCCCAGTATGGAGCTGCACCACAGAGCTGATTAAACTATCATCTGCACCCAGCCCGAGAGCATTAGGCCTAGCTCCAATGCCATTAGGCTGCTTCCTCACTGACACACACACACATGCAAACAAACAAACAATAATTAAAAAGATAAAGATGATTTCTAACTGTTGTACCAGTTAACTTTATACATTTCAGAAAAACGCTGTTAATAGTGACACAAGTGGCTGTTAAGTGAACCTAAGCATTCTGTTGCTCACATTCCATACACAGTTCGTAGGCGTGAGCGAGCATCATCCTGGACATTAGCCAGTTAGTGCATACACTAGACTGAATGCTATAAAAACATTAAAGCCTCACATTAACGTTATTTTCTGCAATGTTTCTATATTTCATTTGGACCATTGAGTCCATGCTACTACCTAGCTAACCTTTTATAAATCATATGCAGTCGACTCCCTCCCTTCCTAATCTCTCTCCTAGACCCCTTATGATCCCTCTGTACATGACCCTCATTCAATCTTACCAGAATCTTCTCATTAATCTGAATAAAATCGTTTTTATACCACACAAATGGCATGGTCTTCGTTAGTAAATTAATGGACTTTTTTAACTTTTTTAACTTTAAGATGCAATACTCAACAAAATTAATAAGGTGTGTGTCATAAAGTGTCAGACTCCGCAATAATTTTTCCCAGCATCACTCACTTCTCCACTCTTTTATTACCTATCTCTGTCAGGTGAAGAGGAGAAAGGAAGCTGATTGTCGTGATCTGTCAATGATGATAGGTTGTGCGTTGCGTGGAGAATAATCGGTCGAGGCTTGACCTCGAGGGAAAGAATTGAGGATTATGGGTACCCACGTCGTAGGCTGCTGCTGATGGTGAAACTCTAGGCAGTCTCCCTCTGATTGGAGATGAGCCTTTGAATTAGCAGGGTCCCAGCCGGGCAGCACACACACACACACACACACCAACACAACTAACCACACAAGCACACCACCTCAACAACACACACCACACACCTCACCACACACACACATACACACACATACACAGACATGCATATCTTCAATCCTTTCAGCTATCTGCTGGATTTCTTTACTTCTTTAATTACCATTCTTCTAAACTCACATTTGATATTTGTCCTTTCATGCCTTTTTGCATCTATCACCTTTCTTTCACTGTTTTTACCATCTATCCTTTTCTTCATACATATTTCTCCTAATCATTAATTTACTGTATATTTTGAGATACTGATGAAAATGAAAACCATGGTAAAGATGTTCTCTTAATCTTGCTCTTTTCACAGCAGGTGTCAGTGAGAAAGGTTAATGAGAAAAGTCAGATTTACCCGCGTAATCACAGATGGAAATTTAGGAGTAAATCTTAGAGGAAGATCTTCTAGAGGAACCATTTGATGTACGCTTCCAGAAGCACTGGCCACCCTGTTATCCTAACCTCTTCAACCTCCACAATGTCTTTCCCAGAGGCTGTAGCGGGCTCCCGCTTTTAAGCTGGTGAAGACGCTTGGTTTCATATGAAACTAGATGACCTGACGCACACATTGCTATCAACCTGTTTTTTCTCACACTACGTCAGCCAGCCAATCATAAACACAAATGTGTACTGTACCTTGACTTCACCAACAATTTTATTTTGGGTTTTCTTTGGTTTGTTTTGTTGTCATTGACTATTTTAGTATATTATAGCTATGTTATAGTTATTTTAGCAGCTTGCTTTCTTATGGAGCCCCTAAGGGGACATGGGCAAAAAAAAGTCATTCAAGTCTTTAGGTTTCTTTTGTCTCACGAGAGACTTGTAGACTTCTACAACATAAATATCATCATCTTCATACTATAACTATAGGTTTTTAACTGCTACTACTTTGCTTTTCCCCCTAGCTTTCTTATTTTAATACTCATTGCAGCAGCTCTCTTCTCTGTGTCTTTCCATTTATTGCATATACTTTGGGGACTGACTGGCATGCGGGGATGCAGACTGGCTCCCTTGAAACCTTCTAGGTTTGGGGGCAGCCTAAGGCAATGGCACCTGTACCATGCTTTTAATGCTTTTTGTTTGAAAATTCAGTACCCAAAAAAACACATTTTCAGCACTGTAAAACCTGATGAATTGGTTCAAACTGTTCGAGATAACCAAGTTTATTAACCTAAACAGTTTAAACATGAAAAGTTTATGACTACTAAGTATTTATTGTTACGGTATCCTGGGTAAATTAAGTTAATTGTACCAATTCCATGACAATATTTTGGGACATTCGATGCTAATCTATTTTTAATTTGTCATAGTATGTCAGACTTCCATCCATGCATTACCGTTACGATCAACCACCCGGAGCTCATGGCATTACTTTTCACCTTGCTACAAAAAGGTCACTCTTGTTCCTGCATCAGCACTGAATGTTGGCATCAGGTGCAAATCTTGCCCTGCAGGATCACCTAATA